ACTTCGTGGCCTACCATTTGTTCGTCACCTTAGTGAGTGTCCACATGGGAAAAAATCGTCCATGCTTTTTTGCATTTGCGATTTAGATCGTGCTCAGTCTGTTCGTCGCCGTCATTCTCGACAATCTCGAAATGGATGAAGAGTTGAAGAAAGTCAAGCAACTGAAAGCACGAGAAGCGGTTTGCAATTTTATGAAGGGTTTCTGTTCTCATGCTGGAAAGCCTGAATTCCATTGTTTTAAATGTAAACTACTACACATACAAACACTTTAAAGAAAGTTCACTGTATGGGGCTAGACAGTAAACACTCCATGGTCGGCTTTCAGTTAATCTTGGCATGTAGACGCAGTAGCCGCTGTGTGGACCTGTAGCCCTCCGAGATTGTTATAAACGTTTATTAGACTAACGTTTCGGTGAAAATCGCCTTCTTCGAAGTCTGTAAAGTCGAAAGCATGGAGGACACTTAACCCAGAAACCAATATTACTCACAAAAAAATTCAAGGGTAGGAAATCAGGGAACGAAATCGTAACGGACCTACAACTCACCTCTTACTGATGTGGAACTCTACCGGGCACTCTGAGCCTAGAGCCTGAGCGGTGCTTTTATATGAGTTTCAGCTCAGAGTTCTCGGGTCACAAGGGACTATACGCCACTGCGAACATTGGTCAAAGGCCTGAAGGTAAGACTTTTAAAATTGCACAGGTCAGGCCAACCGCCGCCAGGAATGGAGGGCAAAAAAGGCTCATTTTTGTGAAGAAGTAAGAAGTAAACACTTTGGCATAGTGATTGCATATCAGACTCTGGCTGAGCAAGAGACTTTCAGACTACATCGATGCGCTCGACACTGCCCTGGCGTTTGCGAGTATTCGAGAAGTTTCCCACACGTCCTCAGATGGCGGCCATGAGACGGTAAGTTGATACCAGAATGTGACGAAGGAATGCTGCTTTACATACTAATTCAGCAATTGGTGAAACTAATAATTATCCCACACAACGCATAAGGCGAAAGGCACTCGGATCATTTGTGACTGCCTTTAGGCCTGTGGTTCACTTTTTTGGATGTCGAGGTCCGCTAGCTATGACCCAGTGAGTTCTTAAAGGCAGTTGGCACGATAAATCCCCAAGACGAGTAGGATTAGTACGCCTGGCAGGACGGAATTCCGCGACCCGACTCCGGGCCAACCAAGCCTTCACCCCCCCCCACCCCAGAGATGGTAAATTGGTACCAGATTCGTCTGGGAGGATAAGAACACTGACTTGTACATCGGCTGGCCCCCGCAAGTCATTGTATAGGCCACATCGCATTCAATAAGCCACTACGATTCTGAATGGAAGTAGAATGCGTGCCGCATCCCACAAAGGGATTGATCAACAACGAAGACCTTATCCTTAATTGTTTATACAACAACCGTAGTTATTAGTAATATATAATATTTGTATGAACAGTAACAATAATCACATGCATGTAGTCAATATTTGATTAATAATTTTAGGGTAGATTCCGACTTTCCGATGCCGAAAGTTCGTGACAGCTTTGCCCATCAGTTTGCGCTGGAGGGTGTTGATACTGAAGTTTGTGATCAAGGTTTGTTTCTTCATTATAGGAGCCCGAATGGCATTTCAGAACTCCCTTCTTTCGGAACTAACTTCCTCTTACCACTAGTTAACTGACCGATCACGGCATATCATTTTCATAAATACAGAATCCGATCATTCCAAAAATCTGCTGCAATTGGCGCCTTCGAGGAAATATCGTCGTGAAGAACCACACTTCCGGCATATCGGTAGTATCTCACTAAGAAACAGTATTTCACATCTTCTTGAGTGAGTCCAGTTTTTTGGTCTCAGTCCTACAGTGCGTATCATAAGTATAGACACACCTCTAAAAGTACCATAGTGGTACTCCGTAGGAGCTTAAAGAAAGAAGTCTAGTTGTTATAGAGTTCAGCATATCTCGAAACCCTGTTTGACCGTTTTTCACGCCAACTGGAAGAAATCGGGAAATTTTTTATCAATAAGCTTCCAATCTAGCTGTATCATAAGTATAGACACACTTTGAAAATTTAGCAGAAAAGAAATTCCTTTCTGCGAAAAGTT